TCTTTTTCATTTTTTAATTCATATGTGAGCAAAGTCATAATCATCATTGTCGTTAGTAAGCATAGATAATCTGCCAGCTTCACTATCTTGTTCTCTGACCAATTAAACCTCATTTTCCTTCAAATGTGGGACATGTTATATCTCTATGCGATGATCTTCGTGTCTTGGGAAAGCAAGACTTCAAGCATATTTTAAAGTAAGCTTGTGCATAATGTAACATACTACGAACCAACCATACACGGATAACTATTTACCATATTTGGTGATTATGTGTTTCTCTTGAATGATTTTGTGCCTTCAATGTTTGTGTTGTTGTGTAGATGGCGTATGCAAATAAGGAAGGTACTATCTTGTACAGAGAAGGCTAGGCTACTTCTACTATGATGGCTGTAGATCGGGAAGGCAAGGAAGATAAAGATGATAGGATACTTAATGAAATGGAGGAGCAGACGAATGCCATGGAGCAGAAGAAGAAAAAGGCAAAGAAACTTCTAGCAAAGAGACAAGCTAAGGTTATTGCCCATGTTCATGAATCCCTTTCTGCTTTATTAGGTTCTTTTCTTAAGATATATAGTCAACATATAAGATTAAGCAAATGTGGATTAGTTTGAGCTATTGTCTTGGTTCTTTGAAGCTATTGTCAGTTAACATTTAATTAAGAAGGCAGGTGAATCAGTTGATGATACTAGAATACCTTTTTTATCTGATTTTGTATCAAACAATGGGGAATAGCCATCATGCTTATTTTTATCACTATAGGCTTTCTACCATGATAAATTATTTGCTGGTTAAGAGGGCATATCATAGTGAAAGATGGGTGCTACTGAAATATATTGTCAGCACTGTGTAGAACAAAGCTTCTAAATTTTAGGTATAACCTGATTAGCTGATCTAGTAACAATTTTGCAACTAATAATATTAGACTTAGAAATGTGTATCAAGGGTGGGATTTTAACCACCATGTTGGATAAGTATCACATAGATTTTTTAGATTTGGGGTCTATTCCTAGATTAGGTTTATAGTAGAACTTTACATTCTTGATGCATTATATTAAGACATTTAAGTCTGAATTGGTTGTTGGATGATATCAGAGGGCAATATTGCCTCCTAGCATGTATGTCTACCTATCAGGCTTTGATGAATTTTTCTATGGTTCAATTCCCACATCCTTTGAGCATTTCTACCTATGCTATATACAAAACTTGTTCCTAATTCTTGTTAGGTTGTCCTGTATATCATCACCCCATCTTTTCCTCTGGGTTTGTTGCTCCCTTATTGCATGTAGTCCCTATTTTTGTACTCTTTAAATACATTACTAATCCTCATTTTTACGTTTTTAAGTTCAATATATCCTACTTTTTCTAATATGTCCTTTCATCTTTTCTACAGGACAGTGTTAGGAAAGCATTAGGCAAGCAAATAGACGCAATAGAGGATGGCTACACTGATCATGAATTGTTCTCTCTAACTTCTGTCAAGGTATACTTCTCCTTCATTTATTATTACATTACCAGTTCGAAAGATCAGTCATTTTTAGCCTATATTAATTGCCATGTGTTTCTATTTAGGTATGAAGTCCTGTGGTTTTCTTCCTACTCTTGGAACAATTTATAACTATTATCTTTCATGGAAGAAATCAAATGGAAACCCAACAATGATTTTATTTTCTTATTTATGTTTATCAAGTTTTAGTAAATTCACTATATAGAGTGATGGAAATTCTTCTAATCCATATTGGATTTGGTTCTCTTTTAAATATATGAATGTCATTTCGTATATTGTGTAGGCATCCAATTGTGTACTTTTTGTTAGTTTTACAATATGATTGTGAAAATGATGAAATTGGAAGTAGTGACAGCGAATGAAGCCTTGAGGAAGCCCAAGGGTGTCATCTAGTGATGCAGACACTGATGAAGAACACCAGCGGTAGTCGTTTCCTCTTAACTTGTACCTAAGCTTGTAAAGTGTGGTCTGTTCTCGATGCTTTTATAAGCTAATAGTATTCTACTTTCAGGTATGGTGAGCCACTACAGGAGTTATTCGACGAAGCCTCCGTAAGATTTGTAGCTAAACAGGAAGGAAGTACGAAGTAGAGAAAGCGTACAAAACAAGCATATTCCGTGGGCGATCAACTCTTGGAGGTAAGCTACATTTTTCTCCTCTCCCATCAAATATGCACTAAAAAGAATGAATGAGTTCAATTTTGTTTTCAGAAATGCACTTCTTTGCGAAATAGGTATTTCTCTTTATGGTTTGGACATGGTGATGATGACAATAACATGGTTCATTCTGATCGAGACTTCGATAATGATGGAGATCATAGGTAAATTTGCTTGTAGTACCACTCTTAGAGAATGCACCGAGTCAGGAAGAGATTGTAGCAAAATGGTTAAGTCAAGATGTCTTTATGGGCGCTGATGAAAGAGAGGATTTGGAGAATGGTGATAGTGATAATGAAATGCAGTTGGATATGCCAGTCGAACACCAGAAAAAACTTAAAGGTTCAAGAAAGAAGAGTAAATTACCAACGGTAAAAGTTTCCAAGGTGGATGACGATTTTGAGATTGTTCCTGCTCCACATACAAATTCTAGTGATTCATCAGACGACTCAGATGAAGACGACATTAGTTCAAAATCAGAGATATTGGCTTGTGCAAACACAATGCTGATGAAAAAGCAGAGGGAACAGGTTCTTGATAATGCGTACAACAAATATATGTTCCATGATGGGGGATTATTACTAAAGTGGCTTGTAGATGAGGAATATAGGCATTACTAGCCAATCAAGCCTGTGATAAAAGAGCAGATTGCTGCAATGAGAGCACAGTTCAAAGAAATTGATGCTCGGCCAGCAAAGAATGAGGCACAAGCGAAAGCTAGAAAGAAACGAGCTGCCCATAGGCAACACCTAAAAAATCTAAGAAGGAATGTGTGGTAGCAAAGAAAGGCGTCCAAGTGTGGGCTGGAAAGGGAAAAGTTCTTGTTGATAGATGAATGAAAAAGGATGCCAGGAACCAGGGAATGAACAAGCGAAGGAAAGAAACAAAAGGAAAGCAGAAAGGCAAAGGATCAGCATAGGGACCAGGATAGGGGAAGGAAAAAGGAAAAGGAAAAGTAAAAGGAAAATGGGGAAGTAAAATGAAGTAGAGGAAAATGCGTGTTTGAATATGAGGGAAGGTTGTTCAGTAGCCAAAAGGGTTGAGAGACTTGTAACGGGGCTTCCCGTGAAGGCTATGTAGGATGGTGACGATGACCAGAATTAATTTGAGTCGAGACTGCATGCTTGCCGCTGCTATTATTTATTTTTAATAATTTCGTTTGGTGAAGTTTTGCTTCTATTCTCTGTACTTTTTGAGTTCTTGCTAAGGTATTGTTGGTGCAACAGTTTTGTTCTGTTCGATAACAGTTTTGTGTTTCTCAGTAATCCATGAAAACAATTCAAAACATTGCCGTAATCAAAATTGGAAAGTTAGTAAAGTGGTAGGAAAATGACGTAAAATTGATGCCTTGCAATTAAACCACGTTATTGGTGTGTTTGGCATGCCATTTTAGGTCAAACGATAGATTTTTCCACAGTTGAAAGTGAAATTTGGTAGTGTAACCTCTTCGTACTCATGGAGATTTGATTGACAGCGTCGTACAAAACCCTCCTTTTCAAACACGCTGGTTCTCCTATCTTAAGTCGTGCTAAACACAAGTTAAATCAAAACAAGGTTTTGTTTGGGACGAGCTTATTTAACCCAACTCACTTTTACACATCTATCCTCACTCCATCTGTAGCAATTTAAAATGCTAACCATATAAGTTTACAGGAGTTTTGAGACTTCGGTTATTCTTTTCTTATTCCTTTTTTAAAAAAAATTGGACATTTGTTAATATTAAAATAGTATCTAAAGTATGAACTTAGCCACTATTTGGTGGAAGAATTTATAAACATATAAAAATAAGTGATGGATAGATAGATAATACTTGTATATTGTAATGTATGTTAAAATGTATTTTGATCATTTATAAATGATCATAAATTTGCCAAATGAAGGCTTTATAGTGGCACATATATGAGAATTTCGTGCATACATGAATTAATGGTTTAATATTGTATCTAAAGTACACACTTAGTAATGGCGTATACTTGAAGGTAAATTATATTCCCAGTTTTTGTTAATTATACTACAAATTAATTACAATGAGGATCCTTAACTTTTGTTCATTTTCGCACTTATGTCCTTAACATTTTTAAAAGTTTGACAAAAGATTTTTCCCACGCTAACCGAATACATGGACAGAAAGCGTCATTAAAGTTAAGATGTGCTAATTAATTGAAGATTAAATATATTTTTTGTTGGAAAAATATTGAACATTCATACCAAAAAAATAAGGATTAAACTATATGTACTTAAAGGTGTACAAAATGATTGACAAAATGGCCAAGTGGTGGCCCCCTATTGGAGGGGCGGCTTTGGGGCAGTCGTCCCTCCAATAAAGGACCGCCCCTTGACAATGTAGTAAACCATGTAGTAAGCCTTTAAGTACTTATAGCATGAATTATGGCAACTGATGTCTGCTGTCTTTTATAAGTTGCTTCCGTGATCCTTGAAGTGTACTCTCTATAATAAAAGCTCAAACACTGGTATATCTTTATCTATTCAATATATGAGAGCTGAAATTTCTATGGTTCAAGTGGAATTCACAAGATGGCTGTCTAATTATCTTACATGTTCCTTGATATGGTAAGCTAACTTCAAGTTGATTGTTGGGTGATGGCTCCCTGCCTTTTTCCATTTTCAAGTAATGACTCCGCCCATCCCATGCAAATATTTTTGTTTCAAATCGTAGTGAGGCAGGATGATCGAGGTAGAGACCTGAGAGAAAAGCTTGACAGAAGGCACTCTCCACCGCGTAGATACTCACCAGAGAGAGATACAAGAGCAAGACATGTGTCTCATGGTAACATGCTGATCTTTATATTTGATTTTTTTTTTCTGTGTTGTTGTTTCCTTAACAGTCATCATTTTATATTGATTTCCTTTGGATATTTGTTCTAATTTAATTTTTAGGAGACATTCCTCGCTCTCTTGGAAAAAGGAGGTAAGTTTGTCAACAGAACTTCACCCCCTCTCTTGGTTTTTTTGTTGATATTTGAGCATCCATTATTAGGAATATTTTCCCTAAGAGAGGAAATGGAGATGAAATCAAAAATAAAATACAGCAACATGATGAAATAAATCAAGACCTATTATTAATCCAACAATGGAACAAACAAAAGAGAATAAACTTATCTCATATTCCTTCTCATTGTAGTCTTCTTCTTTATGTAGTCTTTGATCTTCCACATAAAGAGATTGGTAGATATTGATGCAAACAATCAGGAACTCCATTGAAATGAAATGAAAGGCTCAAACACGTAATCGTTGTCCTCAAACGATATTTGTCCCCTTTTCTAAACAATTTGATGCTTAAAGGGTTTTTCGACAAATGGTTTGTAGGATTGATCAAGCCTTGAAGAGAATTCAACACTTAAGAACTTATGTGATTCTCCAAAAATTCAAGAACACAAGGGGAAACTTGAATATGGAATAAGAAAACTTGATTTTTTTGTTTTTGGAATGAATGATCTCTCACATATGTTTATGCAAGATTTTCATATGTTTTCATTGTTGGTATTGATCATTTTATCACTTATATATA